CCGCCGTACTCGAACGTGTCGTCGTCCAACGCGTCGTCCATTGAGCAGCTACGGTATGTCGTTTGGTTGTAGGTTTCGATCACCGTCTGGTTTGTGCTAGTATTGAAGACTACAATAAATAAATAAATAAAAATTAACAAAAATAATTTGAAAAATACAAAATGTGATAGGCTAGGCTAATTAGCACTAGTTATGTCTAACTGTGATTAGAGGTTAATTAATTAGCTTACTGAGGTAGTCTCCGAGGTTGAAGGTCTGAGTGGCGGCCCAAGTGGAGTAATTCGTGAAGGAGGAGTTGCTGGTGGAGTTGAAGAACCAGCCGGTGGCTCCACCCACGGTGTGGTTGACGTATTTGGTTGCCGTAGGTGTGGCGGCGGCGGCAGCGGTGGCAGTGATGGCGATGAGAAGCAGAATGGCCATCGGATTAGCGGATCTCATGGCTCTGGATGGGCACTCCGATCTGAATGAGAACTTTCAAGCTGAAGCAGCTGAGGTGAGGATTTGAACTACTTTGTAATTTTGCTGGTGTTTTTGGTATAAAATAAAATTAAAAAAATTTGAAAAATGGGGTTTGAAAAGCGGGGTTCGTGCAATTAAAAAATGGAAAAATGAGAGTTACTCGTTGGGCGGTCACATGCAAAGTGTGGTGTATGGAAGCAGAGTGGAGGGGTTATAGGGTGTGGGCCATGTGAGGTGTGGGGTCCCCGGGTGCCTACTCTTTTTGTCCTAGTTCTATGAATTTTGTAGGGAGACTTGGTCGTCTCATTGGCCAATTCTTTGAGGTCGGCACGACTGGAAGGATTTATACGGCATGGATTTATCGTCATAGTAGCGTTTTGTGTGAATAAATGAAGATATGTGAAAGTTTTTGTTCGTATGTCTTTAATTTATTGACATGAGACGCTATCGTGGCGATAAACCTGTGTCATGTAAGTTGTTTTCCAGTATGAGGGAAGGAAATCAAACTAAGACTTCTTTAACCTGTACTTGAATGACTCTGTGTGTCTGATCTGCGTAACATTAGCAGCTTTCATCATTAGCACGTGAGGGTTTTAATTCACATGAGATTTTCTATGCATTACGTCCTTGAACAATAAGGTTTTAAATTTTAATCACAAACCTTAATCACTCCATTAATAGCTGATTGGCTGATGTCTAACAATTGTATTTGTTGGTCTACAATCCATGTGTAAAAAGGTTGAGATTTCCTGCAAAGATTGGCCGCATATTTTCTAACTTCTAATTGATCATAATACTTAGTGAGAAGGAGAAAACTTAGCATCGAGTTCTCCAAGTCACTGTTTGAAGAATTTTGTTTGATCTTTCCATGAACTTTTTACAGGTTTTGCATTTCGCAGGGAGCACAAAACGTTGCTGAGTCTGGCACGCAAACACGCCAAGCTCCCTATGGTCTTGTTCTTACCAGGTCGGATCTCACTGTACTTTGAAATTGCAAATTAGAAAAGAATACTTCTTGGCAGCAGCATAGGATACATAATATTGAACAAGTCTTTGTTTTCCAATGAATTCTTTGAGCAATTGGAAAATGTATTTGAACAAAATGGATTTCTGGAGCAAACTGAGCTTTGATCAGGTTCCAGATTTCCTCAGAAGGCTTGCGAGTTGCGACTAGTACAAGATTGAACATCTGAAATTTAGCACGCTGCTCGCTTGGTAACCCTTTCGTTTTTAGTTTTTATTTTTGCTAAAGTTACAAGGAAAGTAAAGACTAAACAACGAAATGGCCTCCAAAACAAGTCCTAAAAGGTTGGTTGGTCTTACTCGTCAACAAGTCGTGAATTAATTAATAATTACTGAAAATGAAGCAGGTCAGGTCTGTGCAATTTGATGGATGGATTACACAATATAATATAGAGCTTGCTTAGTCAATGAAATTTGCAAGCTGCTGGAAGCCAGAAAAGTCAACTTTGTCGTCTGAGTTGAGCCTTGAGATTGCTGGTATGATGTAATACTGCTGGCCAAAAAAGCAGAGGACAGAATGGCAGAAGCAATTGTATGCTTTGTGATTGATAAGTTAATCTCACTCCTACTCACCGCAGAAGCCAAACTTGCAAGAGACTCGCGCTCTGAAGTAGGCTTCATCAGAGATGAGCTCGAGAGCATCCGATCATTCCTTAAGGATGCAGATGCTAAGGCAGCAACAAAAGATGACGAGATGGCCAATGACAGTATCAAAACTTGGGTCAAACAAGTACGGGAAGCAGCTTATTGCATAGAAGATATTGTTGGTGAATACTTGCTTTGCGTCACGCGGCATGATCAAGACCATGGATTCTTTTATTTTATGCCCACGGTGGTTTGGTTTCTGAAGAAAATGAGAACGAAAGATGACATTGTCTCAAAAATTGATGGGATGAAAACATTGGTTAGTGAAATCAAGGCTAGAAGTGAAAGATATGGATTTAGTTCTGTTGACTTTGGAGAAAAGACTCTTCCATGGCACGACCCTAGAGTGGCTTCCCTTTTCATTGAGGAAGCTGAAGTTGTGGGGGTTGAATCAGCCAGAGATGAGCTAATTGGTCGGTTGGTAAATGAAGCGTTGAGGTGCGAAGTAATCTCGGTAGTTGGCATGGGAGGACTCGGGAAGACCACTCTTGCCAAGAAAGTTTATGACAATCAGAAGGTGGTGGCACATTACGATTGTCACGCTTGGATCATAGTGTCTCAGTCTTACAAGGTGGAGGATCTTTTGAGGAGGATGATAATGCAATTCTACAAGGCGAGGAAGGAGTTTACCCCCCATGGGATTGACACAATGGATGAGGAGGCTCTAATTCGCAAATTGAGAGAATATTTGGAGCAAAAGAGGTATGTGGTTAGAACATGCTTTACCAGATAATAAAGGTGGAAGAATAATGATCACTAGTAGGAATAAAGATGTTGCTGATTTTTACTAAAGGTCTTGTTTTGTTCATGTCCATCCCTAGAAACTTCTGCCTCCAAACAAGGCATGGGAATTGTTTTGCAAAAAGGCGTTTCAGTTCGAATTGGAGGGAAATTGTCCTCCGGATTTGGAGGAGTTGTCTCTTAATATTGTTAAGAAATGTGAAGGACTACCCTTGGAAATTGTTTCCATAGGTGGTCTGCTGTCGACCTGAGTTAAAGGTTTGTATGAATGGCAGAGATTATATAATAGCCTCAGTTCCGAATTGGAAAGCAATCCCCATCTTAAAAGCCTCACAAGAATCCTATACCTCAGCTATCATCATCTACCGTATTACCTCAAATCTTGTGTCTTATACTTTGGCATCTTTCCTGAGGACTATTCGGTTAGTTGCATGAGATTGATTCGGTTGTGGATTGCTGAAGGGTTTGTAAAATCGAAGAAGGGAAAGACATTGGAAGAGGTTGGAGAGGAATACTTGACAGAGCTAATTCATAGAAACCTGGTTCAAGTGTCGAAAGTTGACATTGATGGAAAAGCTAGAAGCTGTCGTGTTCATGATCTTTTGCGCGAAGTCCTCTGAAGAAAGGGTGCTGATCCAAGAAGATGAGTCCACTTTTGAGCCTGTAACTCGACGTCTCTTGATAGACAGCAGTCCCTCGGAAGCCCTGGGAAGCATTACGCAGTCTCATATCCGTTCTGTATTTACTTTCAACCAAGCAGAATGGCCTGTGTCTTTTCTCAACACATTGAGTGGAAACTTAAAACTTGTGAAAGTATTGGATTTCACAGATGCTCCACTCAATTATCTTCTGAAATTTGTTGGGTATTTGTATCTCTTGAAGTACTTAAGCCTAAGGAATATGAACGTGAAGTTGCTTCCGGAGTCCATAGGCAATCTGCAAAACTTAGAAACCCTGGATCTAAAACAGTCTCTGGTGTACGAAATACCAGCTGAGATCAAAAGGCTTGTTAAGTTGAGACATCTTTTGGGATACTACTTTGACTACAACATAGAGTTTAGCCTTAAATCCAAACGAGGAGTGATGATAGATGATGGTATTGGATGCTTGCAAGCTTTGCAGAAACTGTACCATGTCGAGGCAGATCATGGAGGGATCAATCTGATCAAAGCGCTCTGAAAGCTAAGGCAGCTGAGAAAGTTAGGCCTAAAAAACTTGAAAAGTGAAGATGGAAGGGCTCTATGCACTTTGATTGAAAACATGAGCTGCCTCGAATCTCTAGAATTAAGTACAATAAGTGAAGATGAAGTCCTGGGTATGCAATCCCTTTCAAGCACACAACCTCTGTAAACTCAAAGATGAGTGTAGAACTTAGTATTGTAGTATCGATACCCTCGTGTAGAACCTAGTTATCTACCATCATTTTTAAGCACACAACCTCTGTAAACTCAAAGATGAGTGGCTGCAAGAAGTTCAACCTTGCCTGGCAAGGTGAAATCTTGTCTGAGTCTCTTTGTTTGTACTTTCATTTAGTAGATCTATCACTAGATTATGAACTAGAAGTCCATGTTCACAAGGCAAGAAAAAGAACTTAATGTAGACTTAACCCATCTATGACAATCATTTGATAACAAGAAGTTTAAGTAACTTAGAGCACAAGTAATCGACTTAAATCCCATCTATTCAACCTCTGTACTGAGATAACAGTGGCACACCAAGATTCTTGTTAATTTTGATTGTGAGCCTTAAGGCCTATAGCTAAGACCCCACAAAGGCACCTTTCAAGCTAACTACAAACTATCATTGTAGCACACCAAGCAACAAGAGTCAGCTCGACAACCAACCAAAGTGCCACACCCCTGGGGAGCTGTGCAAGGGGAATCTTGCCCGAACAGAAATTCTACTAGATCGTAGTACCAAGTGAGATAATCAATTGTATGTTTTTAAAACATAAAAAATGTTGCAGCCGTCGTCCGCAAACATGATGCCAATAAACTCCAACTGTATATGTATTTTCATATTATCATGTACGACGTTGTCCCCCAAGTATTGTTTGATCTGTAGTATTTGTATCATGTGTGTACAGATATATGCTTGTGCAACAGCCAGCCCTATATATACAAGTGATCGTTCATTTCTTCGACCAAACAGACAAGAATTCGAAATAGCTTAACATGGCACGAGTTGCTTATCTTCTCGTGGTTGCGCTTCTCGTTCTTCCTAGCACGGTTTTCGCGACACAGTATGTCGTTGGAGATGACCAAGGCTGGAATTCTGGAGTTGATTACTACGCTTGGGTTGAAGGAAAAACATTCCATGTTGGAGATTCATTAGGTGATCACTTAGCACTCTCACATTGCTTCCTCTATATTTTGATGAAAATCTCACTTTTTCCTCTTGAACTTGCAACTGCATGACTTCGTCCCCCGTGCTTTTATTTTGTTTCTTAAGTTACTCTATTCTGTTAAACTGGTCAGAAAAATCGTTAATTTCATTGTTGTGGAACAACGACAAGAAAATGCCAAGTATCGAGTGGTACGTTAGTTTCCTAACCAATGCATTTATTCATTGAAAGTTGCCTTTTTGTTTTGTAGTTTTCAATTACAATGCAGGTGAGCACAATGTGATTGTAGTTGGTTCTAATGGGTACGATCAATGTCTTGCATCTCCAAACAGCGGTGCCTATTACAGTGGTAACGACGTACTAACGTTTGTCGCTGCCGGGGACTTCTACTTCATCTGTGAATATCACTGCGATTACAGCGACCAGAAGGTTAAGGTCACCGTAAACTAGATTGATTTCACATGTAGTTTATTTTTCTTCAGTAAAACATATATTAAGGAAGAGACATAATTCCTCTTTTTGTGACTGCGTTTATCATAGTTTTCCGTTGCAAAAGAATATGTAGTTGGAGATGGAGAATATGACTTTCTATGCTGGTGATATAGTACGTGATCATTACTTATAAGGTATAACTTATTTGTTCGTCTTCAAAGTTTTGTTGATTCTTTTTTTATCTTTCAATTTTTTTTTAATAGTTATGACACACGCTGATGATTTTGACAATGAGAAAAGATTTTCACACATGCTTTTCTATCATCATAGGGATGACAGTTTAACCGTTAAAGTCGATAACTGTGGATAATCATCCAAACAAAACAGATTTGGGTGTGAAAATTCTAGTATATTTTGGATAATGTGGAAAAACCTTGAATATTATTCTGTTCTCATTTTGGATATGATTATAAAAGTTCCCGTAACCGTCCCCAAATTTGACCGAGTAATATATATAATGCATAATATATTATATACATATATGTGTATTTATTATTCACCGAATCCATTGTGAGTTGCATTTTGTGAGAAAGTAAAGTTTTGAATCAAAATCAATGAAAATTCAATAGTGCTTATGGGAGATAAAAAAAAAATTAGCCAACATCATCAATGTTTTAAATTCAATGTTTAATTTTTTATCTCCACAAGATCCGTTCATTGAATAATTTTATACATCAAATATTTAATACCGAAATTAATATCTACTAAGTTATAATGCGTCAACTAAAGAAATATATTTTTTGTATTGACGAAGATGGATATAACCGTTAATCGACGGAAATCTATTATCCAATGGTTAATTTGAGGTATGAATATGGTTAATTTATGTGGTTATGTGGATGAATATAGTGTTTCGGTCCCCAAACAGAATTGTTGCCACTTAAATGTTAAATTTCATCTCTTGATTCTTCCGTTGAATTATTCAATCTAAATGCCAAAAATAGAGAAGAGCTTGTAGTAGAAAAAAATGAAGGGTGGAAGTCATTTCCGTTGAGTCCTTGACCTTTTGTGCCTGTTACACGCTGCATTGACACAAAAAATTTCTTCCAAGCTCTTGTTTGGTAACCTTGTTGTTTTTAGTTTTGAGTTTTCATTTTTTTTGTTATAGATAGAGAGAAAATATGTGAGTTTTCAATTTTTTTTTTTTTTTTTGTTGGTTATAGATAGATAGAAAATATGTGAGAGTATAAGAAGGGTATAAGAAGAAGGGGAAACTTAATATGAGTCCAATTTTATGAGCCATTATTAGTTATAGTCCAATTTTATTTAATTTTTAGGTTAGGTCCAGTGATTTATTGTCCACATAAGCTTATTTGTATTCTCTTGCCAAATTTACCCTTAAATTGACCAATTAAGTAATTACTGTTTTTTTAAGTTTGTGATTAATGTTAATTGTATCCTTAATTATAGGATTAGGGATTTAAATCTCCTTTTTTTTTCTTCTCCTTCCCCAAATCATTCATTTCTCTTTTCTTGTTTCTCCCTCACAATATCTTTATCTTCCTCTGTTATTTTTCCCAGTAGTCTTCTACCATAATATTATTCTTTTGCTCCTCCTTTCATAAGGATGATCAATATACATTTGATTGGTCTTTTAAAAAAAAAAAAAATTGTATTAGTCAATCTTGTGTTTTGGGTTCTTCGTCTCATATATATATATATATATATATATATATATATATATATATTTTTTTTTTTTTTTTTTAACTTTGAAGTTCTATCGAATTAGCATTTTTTCTAGTGTTTCCTCCCTCAATATCATTTTTCTTCACGATTTTTTTGGTTTTTATCTACCTATATCACTTGTCCTTTATTTATTTATTTATCTTTTTATATTATACTATGCCTGTATCATGAATAATTGTATTTATCTACCTATATATTACATATTTTGTTGATAATCTATATAAGATTAATTGTGTTTATCTACCTATATATCACAAATTAACTGTGTTATCTACCTATACAATAAGTTTTTGTTCATAGTCTATCTGTATCATAGATTATTTTGTATTATATATCTATACAATAGGTTTTTGTTCATAGGCTACCTCTATCATAGATTCTTCCTACATCACAAATTTTTTATCTACCTCTAGCAATGTTTCTTTTAATTTTTGATAAACTTATAAGATTTGTAATAATGTCTTTTTAATTAAAAAACGGGTAGATAAAGGTATTTGAAGATTCAAAATTTTAAAATTCAAATTTAAAGAATTAAAAAAAAATTCCAGGGGCAAAACAGGTGTAATAGAAAATGAAATAAAATTGGACCCAATTCAAAAATAGCTGAATTTTTTGGACCTGAATCAAAGTGCCCCTAAGAAGAAAGTGGAGATAAAAGAAAACTCATGGAACAAAAATAACTCAAAATTGCTATTAGTTTTCATTTGGCAAGTAATTCCTCTCTTTTTTTTTTTTTTTGGCGTTCTACACTTACCTACTTAATTATGCCTACTGTTTTTTTTTTTTTATTTGTTCAATCCAATGTTTAATAACAGGGGCATTTTGAAATAGGCGTCTCATTTTTTAATTTCGTTGATTAAACATCTATTCCTTTTAAGAATTTGATTAAATATTTTTTTTCAACTTTATTAGAAGTACGTTTGATTATATTGGTACATTTGGTTATATATAATATTGGTATATTTAATTTTGTGGTATATTTGAATTTCTGGTACATTTAGAATCTAAACTTACCAAAGGTCAGTCCGTATATTTTCAAATATACCATAAGTTTTAAATACATGTTTTTAGATAACAATACATATTAAAGAATTAATGAAGTTTTCATAAGAAAATATTCATGAATTTTTTTAATGAAGGAAGAGACTAATTAAATATAATAACAGAAATAAAAAAAATTAATCTTTTTGAGTAATATTGAGGAATTAGTTATATTAATATTTTTAATAAAGCCATGAATTTAAAATTTCCTAGATTGTAGGAAATTAGTTGTTAACTAGGTTAAGTGGATATATATTAAATAAATAAATAAAAAGGCTGAGTTGGCAATTGATCAAAGCATCTTAATCAATTTTTGTAAAGCTACATATGTTTAATCAAAACAAGTTAGAAAAAATGTAAAGGCTTCTTATTACTCCTTAATAAAAATGGAGTGCTAGAGCTAAAAAAGAGAGTGCATAATTCACTCATCTTTTCATTTTATGTATCATCCTTTCCCCGCTCCTCTCATCACTCTTCATTCTCCATGCTTGATATATTTCTGATGATTTTTGTGCCTATTTTAGCTTCTTACACATCAAACTTTATTTTTAAGCATCAAATTAAATAAATCAAACAAAAACAACAAATATGATTAACATAAGTGTGTGAAAGGTTAAAAAACGCGTGTTATTATCATTTCTCATTACCCTCCCTATCTAACAATACATACTCATTACCCCTCTCAAAAAGGGTGCCCATGATAGTGGAAATGACAAAATAACCTTGAAGACTCCTAAGAGCAACTCCACCCCTATCCACTTTGCGCCAGCACCCAGCCCATTTATCCACTTAATTGAACAGTAACAGACTCAATGAACAGTAATAGGCCAAAGCATCTCCACCCCAAAAAAAAATGTGCTGGCACCTAGTCTAAAAATGTGCTGGCACAAACGATCTCCACCCCTACAAAATGCGCTGGCACCCAGTCCATTTAAAATATTAAATAATTTTTTTATAAAATAATAAAAAAAAATAGTTTTAATTTCGGATAGGATTTTTAACCAATCTCGTCACGCCACGTGTCATTATCCGAATTCGCTTATCCATCTCATTACCCGTAATCGGGTCATGAGTAGTGCGAACCCAACATTCACACAACGTAACATCTTCACTGAGCTTCCACGAAGTCATTTTTTTCTCTCAAAGTGTACAAAATATTCAAATGTAGAAAGTGTAGAAAGTGTAGAAAATATTGAAATGTGGTGTAAGGTGGAAGATGAGGGTTAGGTATTTATAAAAAAAAAAAAATTAATTTTTTAAAATTTTTCTGTATTTTTTAAAAAATTTTTGACATTTTAAATTAATTTTTAATAAATTTTAATGTTGTAATTAATCGGGACCGTTGGATTTGAAAAATAATCAAATCCAACAGCCAACATGATGCCACGTGGCCAACGGTCAAATTTCTGACCATTGGGCCTTTTTTTTTTTTTTAAATTTTTGGTGAAATAAACGTGGACCGTTGATCTGTGATCGGACGGTCCAATTTAAAATTTAAATTTAAATTTTTTTTACCGTTGGAAATCCAACGGCCTAAAAAACTAGCGGTTGGAAATCCAACGGCTCTGAGGAGGCCACGTATCCTTCACCCCGGACGACTGCAAGTGGACCTGCACGCAGGCCCCAGCGCCTGCACAGCCTGTCGGCTACGCGCCCCGGGCATCGAGTGTGTTGCACGCGCCAGAAACAGACCGGCTCCTGGGTCTGTCCATTTTGGGCTGGGCTGTTGACTGGCACGGGCTGGGTGCCAGTCAATTGCACGGGCTGGAGCAGAAAAATGTGGTGCCAGTCCATTTTCTTCACTTGGTGCCAGTCCATGGGGCATGGGCTGGAGTTGCTCTAATAACAAGCTCAAAGTCCCTATCTTGTCAGAAGATTTGAAAATTCTATATGGACAAAAAAAAAGTCTTTTCAGAAAACTTAGGTCAGATTTTGGGCTTTGTTGGGATTCTATTGAAAGACTTGGGCTAGGTTAGAAGTCCAAAATGATATTCATCTTTGGTCAATTTACCAAACTCGAAGTTCCAATATTGTCTCTTAGTCATGGAGAAAATTTATTTTCTCCCTAGACTGGTCTAGTTATGAATGGAATTACTGACAAAAATATGTCATCCCCACATTAGTAATATCTGATATTATATATATATATATATGGGAGATTCAAAATGACTATTTTGTTGATGTCACATTGTGATGCGACAGATTTGTAACTCACATTATTAAAGTTTAAATTTCCGTTGTATATGACGTGATTAAAATTATAAGTCTATTCGTTGTTTTATGTATGAATCTTCCAACACAATATCACTTGAATAAATAAAAATTCCAGTAAAACTACTGATACTACTTGTGATAACATTTCACATGTTCTTAGTGTTACAGTGTAACAAGGTGGAGGATTTTTTGAGGATGATGATAATGCAAAAGAGGTATGTGGATGTTTTGGACGATGTATGGAAAGTAGACTTTTTTTTTGGGGGGGGGGGGGGGGGGGGGGGTGGTGGGTGGGGTGGGTGGGGGTGGTTTGTTGGGGCGGGGGGGCTATAGAACATGCTTTACCAGAAAATAAAGGTGGAAGAATAATGATCACTAGTAGGATTAAAGATGTTGCTGATTTTTGCAAAGGTCTTGTTTTGTTCATGTTCATTGCTTGCGACTTCTGCCTCCAAACAAGGGATGGATCGGTTGTGGACTATTCGATTAGTTGCATAAGATTGATTTGGTTGTGGATCGCTGAAGGGTTGTAAAATCGAAGAAGGGCAAGACATTAATGGAAGAGGTTGGAGAAGAATACTTGGCTAACCTAATCCATAGAAACCTGGTTCAAGTGTCGAAAGTTTACATTGATGGAAAAGCTAGAAGCTGTCGTGTTTATGATCTTTTGCATGAAGTCCTCCGAAGAAAGAGTGCTGGTTCGAGCTTCTATCCCATGTTATCAGAAGATGAGTCAACTTTTGAACCTGTAACTCAACGTCTCTCGATAGACAGCAGTCCCTCTGAAGCCTTGAGAAGCATTACACAGTCTCATATCCGTTTCGTATTTACTTTCAACCAAGCAGAATGGCCCAAGTCTTTTCTCAACACATGGAGTGGAAACTCAAAACTTGTCAAAGTGTTGGATTTCACAGATGCTCCACTCAGTTATCTTCCGAAATACATGGGGTATTTGTATCTCTTGAAGTACTTAAGCCTAAGGAATACGAAAGTGAAGTTGCTTCCGGAGTTCATTGGTAATCTGCAAAACTTAGAAAACCTGGGATCTGAAACAATATCTGGTGTATGAAATACCAGCCGAGATCAAAAGGCTCGTTAAGTTGAGACATCTTTTTGGGATACTGCTATGACTACAACATAGAGTTTAGCCTTAAATCCGAACAAGGAGTGAAGATCGATGATGGTATTGGATGCGTTCAAGCTTTGCAGAAAGTTAAGGCAAATCATGGAGGGATCAACCTAATCAAAGCGCTTGGCAAGCTAAGGCAGCTGAGTAAGGCCTAAAAGCTTGAAAAGTGAAGATGGAAGGGCCCTATGCGCTTTGATAGAAAAGATGAGCCGCCTCGAATCTCTAGAATTAAGTACAATAAGTGAAGATGAAGTCTTGGATCTGCAATCCATTTCAAGTCCACCAGAATTTATTCGAATTCTCTACCTGAAGGGCGTCTAGAGAAGTTGCCAAGTTGAATTCCAAAGCTTCAACACCTAGTCAAGCTAAATATTTTCTGGTCAAGGTTGAGAGACTCCCCACTAAAAGCCCTTCAAAACCTACCTAATGTGTTCGAGCTTGGACTCTTGTACAAGGCATATGGCGGCGTGGAGCTGCATTTCGAGTGAGGCTTTACGAAACTGGAGGTGCTACAACTCAGGGACTTGGAGGGGCTATATTCATTGGTTATAGACAATGGGGCTATGCCTCTTCTCAGAGAGCTACAAATAGGACCTTCCCCAAGACCGAAGAAGATGCCCTCTAGCATCCACCATCTCCCAAATCTAACAACTCTTCGCTTTGTGAATTGAAAATTTATAGTACAATTTACTGCTTAAAGAGCATCTCATGTGGGGTAGGGAGGCTTGCCAAAACTTGGTTATAATGACATAAAAATTAGTCACAGTTTACTGCTTTAATAAATGATTTTCACACACACACACACACTATTTTTCTCCCCCAACACAACCATGTTTATTTTTGCCAATTGAATTGAATGAATCAAAGGAAAATCAAAGAAATAAAAATGAACTTAAGTGCAGTGAACGAGAGAAATAATGGTGTGTGAAAATCATTTCCTTAATAATGATAGTGCAACAATACTCAAAGTCTATTTACGAGTATGTCTTTGGGAAATTTATATTAAATATGAGTTAAAAGTTAAAAATTTAGCTAGTGAGTTGGACATGCCTGAAGGAGGTGGAATGTATATATTTGAGCAAAATGAATTTAAGGTTTCCCATTTCCTCGGAACGGTTGTGATTCGTTAGTCCAAGATTGGACATGGACATCTGATACTTACCAAGCTAAAAACATGAGTTGTATGTTTTAAAAAACATGAAAATGTTGCAGGCGACGTCGATAAACACAATGTCAATAAACTCCAACTGTATATGTATTTTCATATTATCATGTTGTCACCCAAGTGTTATTTAATCCATTGTATATGCATCATGTGTGTACAGACATACGCTTGTGCCAAGTAGCCACAGCCAGCCCTATATATACAAGTGATCGTTCAGTTCTTCGACCGGACATACACGAATTCGAAATAGCTTGACATGGCACGAGTCACTTATCTTCTCGTGATCGCGCTTCTCGTTCTTCCTAGCGTGGTGTTTGCGACACAGTATGTTGTCGGAGATGACGAAGGCTGGAATTCAGGAGTTGATTACTATGCTTGGGTTGAGGGAAAAACATTCTGTGTTGGAGATTCATTAGGTGATCTTAGCACTTTCACATTGCTTCTCTATACTTTGATGAAAATCTCACCTTTTCCTCTAAACTTGTAATGCATGACTTTGCCGCCCGTACTTTTATTTTGTTTCTTAAGTTACTTTATTCCGTTAAATTGGTCAGAAAAATCGTTAACTTCATTGTTATGGAACAATGAAAAGAAAATGCCTAGTATCGAATAATACGTTAGTCTCCTAACCATTGCATTTATTCGTTGAATGTTGATTTTTTGTTTTCCAGCTTTCAATTACAATGCAGGTGCCCACAATGTGGTTGTAGTTGATGCTAACGGGTATGATCAATGTCTTGCGTCTCCAAACAACGGTGCCTATAACAGCGGCCACGACGTACTGACGTTTAACGTTGCCGGGACTACTATTTCATATGTGAATGGCACTGCAATCACACCGACCAGAAGCTTAAGGTCACCGTAAACTAGATTGATTCACTCATATATGCCAGCATCTTCTTCACCAGCTTTAGCTTATTAACGGAGACAACTTGTACTTTGTTCTTCTCTTCCTTTTTTATTTTTTCAATAAACTTAAAGATGTTGGTAAATTGATGTATAACATGACCACCCGATGCCCTGACCAAAAGAACAGAAGGATTACCGACGAGCGAGAAAAACTTAAATAATTATTGGTAATAATTATTTATAGATCACCCAATGCCCTGACCAAAAGAACAGAAGGTTGTATAGATGACGTAATAAACTCAAACTGCGGGATTCATAATGGATTTACGTATAGATCAAAATGTGTGGCAAAGGCATGTATACATCTTTACTTAGATAATTATTGGTAATATTGCAATGGTGTGACCAAACCACTACTAAACCTATGAAGCATACCCACTCTCGTTATATTTCAGATGGTGCTATCAACACATTTCTTTTTTATCTCTCACACATTCCTCTCAATTTTTATCATTTGATCTTTTTCAATTCATTCGATCCGACTACTGAAAATTAAAAAAAATGTGTAAAAAAGGTAACAATATGTGGGCGAATAGCACCTCTATAATTAAGATGATAATCGTGATTAAACCTGACAATATAGGCAAGTGATTTCTTCCAAGGAGCAAACATATATTATGGCAAGAGACATCATTGCTCTTTTTGTGACTGCGTTTATCATTGTTTTCCATGGCAATATATTGGGTGATATGTTAGGTGATCATTACTTATAACTTATGTGTTGGTCTTCAAATTTTTGTAGATTTTTTTTTCTTTCAATTTTTTTGAATGGTATACCGCTGGTTTTATTTTGATGATTTTGACGGTGGAAAAAGATTTTCACACACGTTGTTCTACCTTGTGCACATAATTGTTAACTTTTATCTTTTGATTCTTTATTGAATTATTCAATCCAATTCCAAATGCCAAAAATAAAGAAATTTTTTTCATGAAGAAAATGAAGTGTGAAAATCGTTTTTTGTTCTAGATCGAGAGAAAACAAGAGGAGAGAGATGAAAGAAAACTCATGGAACAATTAACTCAAATTTGCTATTAGTTTTCATTTGGGAAGTAATTTTCGCACTTCTTTGGGCATTCTACACTTATTTGCTTAATTATGCTTACTGATTATTTTTTTATTTGTTCAATCCAATGGTTTAGCCGATCCCACTTAGCCCTGGTTTGGGATTAAGGTGAATTTAAAAAAAAAGTGGATATGAAAAAAAGTTGGGAGGGTTTTTAGTGTTTGGTAAACTCTCAAAATCAACTTTATTTCAAAGTTTGGGATGGAAATAAGCCCAAAACCTAAAGCTGCAAATAGTTGCTTCTAAAAACTAGCTTATTTTCAAAACACAGGTGAACAGTAAAATCTTTAATGAATTTTTCAATAACCCCAAAATTGCCCTCTTTTCCTCACACTCTCAGCACACCTCTTGCATTCCGCTCTCACAAAACCTGAACCAGAAAACTTCCAATCCTAGCGATCTCTCTCATTCTTCTATAAAACTGCCAAAAGTCCCTAGGGTCATCAAAATGAGGATCATGTTCAAATTTCAAAATGACAATCACGTTCAGAAACCCACTAAAAAAAAGAAAAATATTGGGAATATGAATCTCACCGTTCTACCATCAATGGTGTGCATATCCTGAAGAACCTTATCGAGAACAGCAGGATTTACAAAAACCACAAACCCAAAACCCCTGGGGCGGCTGGAGATCTTATCCTTCATGACCACCGTCTGCAAAACATCGTCGTAGTTGCTGAAATACTTTTTAAGCTTATCCTCTGAGGTCTCCCATGAAATCCCACCAATTAAAAGTTTCCCCTGATCGGAATCCATGTGGGTTTTCACTACCTCTCCTTCTCATTGCGTGTGAGAGTGAAAGCTTCGATCTTTATTAAATTGTGGAAGTGGGTTTTTGGATTTTGGGGGTTTGGGATTTGGGAGAAAAAGGAAGGAAGGGTTTGTGGCCAACTAGAAAGAGAAGAGAGACAGATTGGGGGGTCGAGTGCGTATGTATGCTTCGAGTTTGGGGGGAAGTTTGGAATTTGGGGAATGGAAGTACGTGTTTGGACGGGTGAGATTTGCTGGATTGGTTGGTCGGGAATCACTTTGATGTTTTGTACCGCTTGGATTTGATGTAAGTCGAAATCCACTAGAGGGTTGGCTCTCTATCAAGTGAGGTGCATAGAGATGACATATGGTCTCCTTCTTTACCTTGTTAAGCTAAAAATGTCCCTAAAAATCTCCCAGCGATAACTACATACGGAGGTATTCTGAACGTGATTGTCATTTTGATGTCCCTAGGAACTTTTGTGAAGAGAGCGATAATAGTGATGATGATGATGAAGAATACCAAAATTATCAAGTTGAAGGATCACATGAGATAAAAGCATTAAGAAATAGAATAGCGGCAAGTTTGATGAATGCATCTAATTAGACTACTTTCAAGTACATTAACAATATTGTACTAATGAATCCTAGCTATTCAGTCTAAAATATTTCAATTGAAGTAGTTTGTCATACTAATTAATATTTAAGATAAAGTTTATAAATAATTTTCTTTTACAAATAAAGTATATTTAGTAATTCACCTTTATTGGTTAAGAAAATTAAATTAATGGCACATCTAGTATTATACCCTTTTTGGTCATTTCACACAATCACAGTTGTTTTACATAAAAGTTTACCAAACACTATAATACTATTTTTTTTTCTGTTTTTCAAAAGCATTTTTACAAAAAAGTTTACCAAACACTCTGCTGCTTATTCTTACAGCACAACAAAAGCATTTTTTTTTTCAAAGTACAGCAATACTAAACCAGCCCTTAATGGGAAAAGGCTTTGTTGTTGTTCAATCTAATGGTTAATAAAAAAGGAGTGCTAGAGGTGACAAGGAGAGTGAAAAATTCACTCATCTTTTCATTTTGAAAAGTGCTATTCATATACCCATTTTTCCTTCTTACACATTCTTGTTAATTTTTGCTGTTGATTTTTTTCAATTCATTTGATCCGATAACAGAAAATTGAGAGGGGTGTATGAAAAGTAAAAATGGCTGTGTAGATAGCACTACCCCCCATTTTATATATCATCCTTCCCCCTACTCCTCTCATCAACCTTCATTCTCCTTTGATATATTTCTCCATGGAGCTGATTTTACACTTATTTTAGCTTTTTACACACCACACTTTAATTTAGCCATCAACTTAAATAAATCAAACGAAAACAACAAATATGATTAAATATGAGTATTTTCTCATTACCCCTCTATATCTAACAAAACGTACTAATTAAACTAAAAATTAAAAACAAATAGGTTGCAAAACGAGTTTTAAATTTTTTGTTTTCACAGGTATGAATCTTTACTAAGTGAGTATACTGTGCTTTTTCTTTGCTGATTAGTTCATTACTTTGATTTATTAGAGACTTAGTTGTGGGAGCATGTATAATTACTCCTTCATTTTGTTGTGTTTCCTAGTGTTCAATTACCACAATGTTATAGTAATGAACTAGAAAAATGGCCTACCTACTACTGCCTGTTCTGGTTTCATAATGCATTTTCAATTAGATTAATCTAGAAAATGTACATTTTAGTTCAACCAATTCCAAAAAAAAAAAAAACACAGGCAAACATAGATAATTCAACATAATTTGAAAACCAAAGACCAAGGTTAACTGATATAGCAGAATTGGTATTTTAGCTTGCATTTAGGTTAAATTTACTTTACATCAACAACCCATACATAATCAAAAGGGCATATTTTGAAGTTTGAGGCAACAAAAGATGTAACCATAAAATATCTTGTTTTTACATAATGAAGGCAAGTAGCATGCAGTCCACAAATATTTTTTATGTGCATGCAATGTGACAAAATACATGTCCTGCAAGCTATGTTATCGTCATAGCGATTACGAAAAGATTATAAAAACACATTCTTAAAGTGTCTACAATACGTAAATTTGGAAGTGGAATGCCAAAAAAACTATACACGTATTATATTTGCACCAAGCCATCATTAAATCCTTGAGAGCTCATTTCTTCTGAGAACCAATAACGGGTAGAGGCACATATCTCTAGCACTTAAATAGAAATAGGAGACCATATCTCAATAATGGGTAGAGGCAAATATAGTATTTAAGCAACTGGCTAAACAATAACGGGTTAAAGTCGCGTAATATAAAAGAAAAATTAACCTTTGAGTTTTTGCAAGTTCTAATTTAGTGAACAATGCCCTTTTGACACCTTTGTTTGAGGAAAGTGATTGGATTTCTTCAGTGCATGGTTCCAAAGGTGTAAAATAAATGGGATTGCATCAACAACAATTTGCTTCCCACATTCACAACATGCGTGCGTGGTTTAGCCGAGCCAATAGTTGCACTAGGTTGTGGTTGGTTCTCAAGTAATCCATAAACTACAAAGACTGTCTTGCCAAATTCCTTGTTTTAATTACCAAATCAAAGTTGGATTGTTTTTGTGGTGCCAACCAATCTTTTAAGGTGTAGCAGCAACACAAAAGAATCATCATGCCCTTCTTCGATGACGAGATAGTGGCAAGATACGCCCAAAATTTTTTTCAGCATGCCTTCCTATCATCATAAGGTTGACTAATTTGTGTTGTCTTCCACAATAAAATTGATCTTGAATCTAAGTAATAGATGATAACATTGTTAAAATTATAGATATAATAAGAAGAAATATAAACAATGTAAAAAATTTGGATGTGAGTGTTACCATGGTTCATGCAATTTTTTTAGCAACCCGTGGTCAAAGCTTTCAAAGGTTGCAAATGTCTTCTTCACAACCTTGTGGCAAGATGGTCACAATTTGTATCACCATCCCTAGCTTAGATTGTAACTAACAATGGTCACCTGACACATGAATTCTAAGCAAAAGAGATGAAGCATAAAAAAAGCACAAGAGATGAATTAATCACAATAAAACTCTAAGCAAAACAGATGAAGCACAAAAAAAAG